TGTAGTCTATAGATAGGATGGGCACATCGGTTCAGGGATTTTGGGCAGTTGGTACCGAGTACATCGCTGCTGCGCTACACGTGAACCGGAAGTGGTAACGGCTCAGTGTGGAAGGAGACAGGCATAGCCAGACCTTCGGAGCGTTGGCCATAGCTGGGACCTGCGCTGTACTCTGCCAGCACGCAGGGGCTGACAGAGGTCTGGGTTATCGAGGTCTGCTGGAGGCAAGAGAGATTGGTGCCCTGATGGACCCTCCTCCGGAGTGGGGTTCCAGGGTGGCGGTACTGCAGCCATAGCTGCAGCTTCTTCCTCAGAGGTCATCTTGTCAGGGTTTGGTGGCGCTGTTGCAGACTTCCATCCGGGAAGTCTTCCGACACTTCGTCATCATCAGATACTGTGGTGCTGGTCTTCTTCTTCATCCTCTGAGTGGTGCTTGACCTCAGAGGCCTGTTTTAGGGTGGCGCTTGATGTTTCAGGGGCTCAGGGGAGTTACGGGTTGTTACTCAGGGTTGGGGAGTGAAGCGCTGCTCATTTCTGAGCAGCGCATTGTAGTTCTGAAGTTATCCTGACAATTTGAGACTCTGAGTTTAATAAACAGTGTGATACTGTGTTTGGGCTATCATCGTTTCATTGTTTCCTGGATGTGATCTGCTCGGCTTTTCTCTACGACTGGTTCTGAGGATTGAGTGGAGCGAATTGCACTTTCAGTGTACCCTGTCATATCGCATGGTCAAGTCTTCCGCTGTGTTATCTCTCCCTGTGCGTGTGATACTCCTATCCTCTCCCCTTCCTTTTGTGTATGTATTGGCATACCTGGAAGTCTATGTGAGTGAGTGTTGGTCTTCAGAAAACAAACAATCAGAATCATAACAGCTGGTATCGGAGCAATTGGATCCAGGCTTTGGAGCAATTGATGAGTTGGAGCACCCATCATCATCTGGCGAGCTACTGGAGTTGAGTTTCATGGCGCTTCATCATCTTCAGGGTTGTTGTCAGTAAGGGTGGTGGCTGTGAGTGTGTGGCGAGAAGAATTGGGCAGAGTGTGACTCACTCCTGACTAGGGTTGTGTAGGAGTGGTTGGCGATTGATACTCAGAGACCTGGGAGGCTCTGAGAGGCTATTTTTAGCCTGGCGATTCATCTGGAGGCTGGCGATTGTCAAGGAAGTGATCCCAAGAGGTGGCGATTGTGGAATTGGGTCAGGATCCCCAATTTCCAAGCAGCGCAGTACAGGGTGATGTGGCGCTGCACTGACTTTGTCAATTATTGGCACCTGGGAGTCCGAATTTTCTGAATCTGCCAGTTGGGGGTGAAGTGCCTCAGGGTAATCTACTGTATCACCAAGTTTCAGGCAATTTGGTACGTGGGAACACTTGATACTGTCAGGAGGTGAAACTGGCGAGATGGGGTCGACTGTTCAGCCATTGCCAAGGTTTCATGCATCTTCTTCAGAGTTGACCTTGAAGTAAGTGTGTTCCATACTCCATCCTATGTGGCGATTCTGGGTCTAGTTTTAGAATAGTGAATTTGGTATGTTTGTCAGCGTACAGTTGAAAATCGAAATTCAGACTGTGGGACAGCCATATCCAACTTCCCCTACCTATCTTCGTTGACTTCTACTAACCCTGTCTGGCCTTCTTTCTTACTCATTTTTCATCTGTTACTGCTTTACAGTATTGCGATTTATACTGTGTAGTGAATTGATGAATTAAGGGTCCTGTCTTCAGGGATAATGCAAATTTGAATTCTGCGATGACATAGCTAAAACTTGGCTAGACTAGGGTCAGTCATAACTTTGATTCTGTCCGTCAGAATTCAATTCTGTCAGACCCCGGTAAATCGCAATTCAGTACTTAGTCTGTGTCTGAAATCGCACATCCAGATTTGATGTTCTGAGTCAGTTACAGTGAAAACCGTAATCCGCCATACCCAGGGTATGGCATACAGGGCCATCCAGTGGTGAGGTCTGTAGGGTAGGTCTAAAAATAGGGTAACTTGTAAATCGCTGCATCTTGGTCATCAGTGGACACCTGTCTAACCCTAATTAGTCACTCTGTCTAATTACTAATCAATACTTATCAGTCCAAGACTACATCCTGTCAATTGTTGAAGCAAGATTTGCAATACAAAGAGTTGCACAGCTATGAGGAAATCTATGACATTGGATCTACTCTCAGGACACTGGTAGCTGTGAAAAGCAGAAGTATAACATCGAGATGGGTGATGACACAGCGTCTCAATTGCACAACACCCCACATCCGCCACACCACAGCAATCGCTGTTCTTCAAGCAACACCACCCTCTTTCCCAATTCCAACACTTCACGCACAATTGTCAACATCTGAGCTTCCTGGGTCGTCAGTACATTACCGAACTGGACAGCCATGGTTTATCTCTCTTGGTCCTACTGCTGCGCTTTCTGCTCTTGCCACGATCGATGCTCAATACTGGTTGCAGCAGATAACTGCAGTGATGGCAAAACAAGTACAGCAACAGCAACGAATGGAGTGCTCTCGGAGGTGCCGTGTTCATCGACTATAATCGCCAGGGGCTCAAGGACACTCGCAGCTTTGACCACCACAAAGCAGCTGCGGCATCATATACTGACTGCCCTTCAACAACATATGGTTGCTAATTCTGGCAGTAACCATCAGGGACAGAATTAGAGATAAGGGCGTGATGCGCAAAAGTCTCAAGATGAGAGACAGAAATGCATACATGGAGTCTCAAAATACATTGGAATGAATGATACATACATGTGAACATAAAGAGCCATGCAGATTGCAACAGAAAGTGAGGGAGAGAGCACACAGACCTAAAGACGTGTTAGACATGGAGTGAGAAGTTGTTTATTTGAGCTATTCGTGTTGTTTATTTCTTTGGATAGGCTAACATTGTTATTAGATAGCAGTAAGAAATGGACTATCAGTCAGAGAGTACGCAGTGTGAATGCCCACGTTACTGTCCTGATTTATTTCCTTCGATTTCTTGTGAGAACAAACTTCGATCTGATGTTTCTCGCATGCTGTTCAATTCCACATTTTTGTGTCTTTCACATTTTTCCAGTGTGACCATCCTGATAGTCGATGTTTAGCAATATGGTTGTGGTTACCACTTCTATGTGTTTTTTATTTCGCTTCAATGGTGCAACACTCGACGATGCAAGGCAGGTATGTCTCATGATCACACGACCAGATCAGTCACTTTCTACCATAGCCGTGATTCTTAGCCAATAGTTTTATTGCAATAACCGATGCCATATGTCTCGTGGAAAGACTGAGGGCCAACTCGGCTGCCCTCAGCCCAGGCCAAAACGGGGGCAAAAAGGACCCCACACGAGGACTCAGGGCCTGGACGTGTGACAGTTGACTTTGGTCAACTGTCGTGACCCCAACAGTCAAAGTCCAAAGGTACCTAGCCCAGGCCGTTGGTCAAGCACACACACTTGTTTGTATGCAGGTACCCAGGCAGCATCAGGTCCAAGGGAGAAGTCTGCGACTGTACAATCCGGGCCCTCAGCTGTGAGTCGATCTGGACGACTGTGGGAAAAGCACCCGAGGCTAGACAGCCTCAACAATTGCTACTTAAGGCTGGCCTCGAGTGAGTCAAGCATTCAGTCTTGCTATGCTGCTTTGACGCTGGCTTGACTTTGACTAGACACTGGCATTATGCTGGCTAGACGCTGGCTGTGCACTGGCGATGCGGACGACGGCACGAGGTGGAGGCAGCATGCTGACACTTTCTGCATTGTGCGCCAGGTTAATGGAAGACAAAATATTCGGGGGTTTTCGCCGTGTCGCCACAAGCAATGACAGCCTCAACAATTGCTACTTAAGGCTGGCCTCGAGTGAGTCAAGCGTTCAGTCTTGCTATGCTGCTTTGACGCTGGCTTCACTTTGACTAGACACTGGCATTATGCTGGCTAGACGATGGCTGTGCACTGGCGATGCGGACGACGGCACGAGGTGGAGGCAGCATGCTGACACTTTCTTCATAGTGCACCAGGTTAATGGAAGGCAAAATATTCGGGGTTTTTCGCCGTGTCGCCACAAGCAATGTTGCCGAAACTTTTGCGAACAAACCATGCAGGGTCATAATAAAGACAACAAAAAAACAAACAGAAAAGGAAAAAACAAAAAAAACAAACTCAAGAGCACTATAAAACCCTATTCAGAGTAGCTTTCGGAGTTCGCCAAATCTTTCTTCGAGTCCGGTGTTTTTGCTAAGTTTTTCGTTACTGGTCCAAATGTGGCGAAATTGAATACAGATATACCCTAAAGCACATACGTATCAAGCAAAAAGTAAAAATTCAGGAAAATATGGCAGTTTCGGTGAAAATTTCGCCAAAATTCGCCGAAATTCGAGCCTTCCATTAACCGCTTCTCGAAGATCGGGATCTGTGGATGAAGGAGATCGGGTACTCACCTGAAATTGACGTCGTCACTGGAATCTGCTATGTCTTCATGGTCTTCACGAGATAAAGTGCCACGTGGCACTATTGTGTGTGATCAGATTTACTATACTTGTTATCATCTACTAGTTGTTGATGTGGAGAGGGAAGAAGCCCGGAGAAGGAGAGGGGTCTGAAGGGATTATTATTGTGTGATCTTTCATCTTCTCCTCTGTGTGTTCCCCCTCCACTCTCTTCTTTTAATGGTAATGAGATATTGTTTGAGATATCACTTCACGATTTGGAGACTTTGATGCAGATAATGAGACTGCTGATGTTTGACGACTTCTGAGTATCTGCCAGACTGGGTTCATTACGTTATATGCATTCAATAACATTGGTATATTGATATATTTGTATACTGCCGATAATACTGGATATTTCTGTAAACTGCTGTATATACTCTTTTTTCCCCCTCCCTACCAGTGATTTATAATCTCTCCATACTCCCTTTTGACGCGTGTGAAGCCGAGCTGGTTCCTCTTGTTATCAATTGATTCTATTGAGATTCATAATCCGTTCATCTACTTTCCGTGTGTGGCCAAATGCAGCAACGGATGAAGGACCAAACTGCTCTTCTAGAAAAAATGAACGAGGAATCTGCTTTAATCTCCATGGAGAAGGAAAAACTGGCAGAAGAGTTGGAGGGTCTTCAGACACGCATTGATGAAACGGAGATAACAAAACGAGAGGCATTGGAGCAAGCAGATGGTGCACGTGAAGCTGCACATGCATTTTCGCTCAAGGTGATTCCCACAACTCGTTTTGAAGCATCGTTCATATATGAGAGAATCTCTAACGGTCCTTCTTGAAGTTTAGGGACATCCAATGGCTTTTTTGGCAGCGGTGCAATCCAATGGTCTTTCTTAACAGTGGTGCTATGCAAGGGATCTTTCTTCACGATTGACAGTGGTAGTTTCTGATGCACCAGGTTTTGAACACGCACTACCTTGCCTTGGAATATGATCAATCAGGAAATGGAAACAAGACTAGCCTGTCTGTTGATTTGAGATTATGCAAGTGTCTCTCTCGTGGCCATGAAAATTGTGTTTGATTGCACACACCATCTCATGGCAGTGTGTGCGATGAAGTGGTTCTGAAAATACCTCATTATCGTACTTCATTTGGCTTGTGCAAGAGGATTAACAGCTGTGCTCTTTCTAGTTGATTGACATGCCACTTGGATAGATTTCCTGATCTGGTATATGAACCAGTTGTATAAGGGGAAAGCCGGCATTCTCCTTCTCTCATCCACAATTGCCTGTTTGGCTTCCACCACAGGACCTGCAATTTCAGCGCATGCATATCAATTGTAAATGTATATGTTGCTAGACAGGNGGACCTGCAATTTCAGCGCATGCATATCAATTGTAAATGTATATGTTGCTAGACAGGGTTGCATACCAGCCGACCGCCAATGGCTGACTGTTCTGCAGCCTACGGGTCGGACCAACCGGTAGGCGGTCTGCAAACCAGTTGTTAGAGGACCTTCTACTGATATCACTACCAACATGACAAAGTTTTTCGGTCGCGGGCTGTGTCGGTTCACCTGTGATGAACTTCGGCCGTGCGATCAACGATTTTGAGACGTCGGATAGGAATCTGACGCGTTTGACGCGCCGTGATACAATCTTGACCGATGATTCATGGATCGTGAGGCGTCCGATACAAAATCTGTCGCGTCTGACGCGCCTCAGCCGGGCGCCGTTTCATTTCTTTTTCTTTTCTTTTTTGTTTTTTTGTTTTTCTACTTTTTTTGCATTTCGGGCGGGAGTTTCACTGCTTTCCTTTTGCTTTCGCGCCGGCCCTCCGCGCCCGCCCTCTGCCCTCCGCACCCACCCTCCGCGCTTTGGCCTTCGGATTTCGTGCTCTTCGCCCGTCCTCCGCCGGGCGTTGTTTCTTTTTTGTTTTTTTTTGTTTTTCCTACTTTTTTTGCGTTTCGGGCAGGAGTTTCACTGCTTTCCTTTTGCTTTCGCACCAGCCCTCCGCGCCCGCCCTCCGCTCTCCGCGCCCACGCTCCGCGCTTTCGCCTTCGGATTTCGTCCTCTCGGCCCGCCCTCCGCACCCGCCCTCCGCGGTTTCGCCCTTCGCCTTCGCCCTCCGCGCCCACCCTCCACGCAACAAAAGCGCTTTCGCACCCGCCCCCCCGTGCGCATGCACACACACGCAGCCGCCCGCCTGCCCGCGCGCGACCTATTTGCCACTCTCTCTCTCTCTCTCTCTCTCTCTCTCTCTCTCTCTCTCTCTCTCTCTGTGTCGGTGGTCCGGCTCCCATGCATTTCTTTTTTTCTTTTCTTTTTTTTCTTTTTTTTTCGTTTTTTCCAGGAAAAAAAAAGAAAAAGAAAAAACGTATGAGTGAACAGACACAGCCCGGCATATAGTTTTTTCGTGGGAGCCTCTCTCTCTCTCTCTCTCTCTCTCTCTCTCTCTCTCTCTCTCTCTCTCTCTCTCTCTCTCTCTCTCTCCGCCGCCCCGGCATATAGTTTTTTTCTTTTTTTAAAAGGCTAATTCTTTTAAGCCCAACCAATTCAATTACCCGTCGAATTTGGACAGAACGGCCTTTCAGGCCTTTTTTATTGTCATTATAGTATTACGGGGAACCCCGTAGCAGCCACATCCGTGCTCAAGCCTCCAACGAGGGAACATGCGGGAGCTGCACCCACTAGCAGGTTTGTCATTATAGTATTACGGGGAACCCCGTAGCAGCCACATCCGTGCTCAAGCCTCCGACGAGGGAACATGCCGGAGCTGCACCCACTAGCAGGTGCGATACCTGCTACAGCAGGTGGGCGATACCGGCCAGGGGTCAGGCGGTAGCATCAGGACGGACCTTCTTCGATG